TATACGGTGAGTTTTGTCTTGTTTTGTAGATCACACTCCTCCAAATTTTCTTGAACCGTCTTATTTATGCATGCAAACACACAAAATACTTTATGTAAATATTTTTCATACTGTCAATGTCAATGTCGCGCGACTTAGCAGCAACAGCAGAAGTTGTGTTCAACCCTTTCATGCATTAATTTTTCCTATAAAATATTGCACTTTGAATGCGCTTATCTTTAAATCTACGGTATATTTTTTTAATGAATTGTGTTAAAAGAACTTAAATCCTGCTTTAGTTTTGCATTTTTCGTCACCTTGATTTTAGAGCATTTTAGCGTCATTTTCTATCAATTTAATTTTCTAAAAGAGTTTCATTTTACTCTATAAATGCATTATATTGCACATGTAGAACAATTTAGTAAACTAGTATTTAGGAGAGACGAAATTAAAAAAAAATAGTTATTTTTATTATTTGACCGAAATATAGTTCAAAATAACCAATAAAAATGTAAATACCCTGTACAAGTTTAGTGCATGAAAGGGTTAAGAGATAAATTGAAAGAAATCTAGATCAGGCGCTGCAGTCGATGGGCAAATTAAATATTTTATGNCCAATAAAAATGTAAATACCCTGTACAAGTTTAGTGCATGAAAGGGTTAAAAGATAAATTGAAAGAAATCTAGATCAGGCGCTGCAGTCGATGGGCAAATTAAATATTTTATCTACACTTGTACTATTGCTAACAGCTAGCAGCGAGCTCATGTCAAGCACAGTCAATGGCAGATACATTTACAGCCATGTGCATACATACACCCATTAAATAATTTAAAAATAAACTAGACGAATATTTATTTTTCTTTTCCTCTCTGGGGCAATTAATTCAAGAAATGACGACATACACTTCTTAACATCTCTGTAAACCGGTGCGGTGCGGCCCGCCGGTGATATAATTCGACCAACGAGACAAACTGCCGCGTTTTCTCTGCGTCAACTGCAGCTTGAGAGCTTATACGTTGCAGTGAAAATAACAAAAATTAAATCGCGCGCGGCATTTGTCACCGAACAACTTAATTAAAATTTATAAATCGTACATGCACACACAGAGGTAAACACATAGCTTCCCTACCATATATTCAATTCCGAATCATACATGTGCATACATATAAGCGAAATGCAATATACATACATACATCCATTGTATGTAATTCAAATTGGATTATGTTATTTAATTGAAACATTTCATGTGTCATAAATCAAAACGCAAATTAGGCAGACGAGTGTTCTAAGGCGCGTGAGGTGAAATATTCATAAAACAGATTAAATTTTTCTAAGCGTTGCGGCAATGAACATTTACGTAGATTTAAAGTCGTGTTTTTATTAAACTTATGGCAGTCGTCAAGTCAAGTAGCAATACATACATACATATATACATATGTGTTGCTCCACCGTCCCGATATTTAATTTAGTGATCCATGATGCAATAAAATTCACAAATTTGGCAAAGCAATTAATGTGACTAGTAGGGTAGTCCAAAAATTAGTTAGCGTTTAATGGCTTAAAAGCGAATTTATTCAGACCATTCGGAAATCTATGCAATGACATTCCTGAACGTCTCGCTGACTATTTCAGCCTCAAGAAGGGACCTTCAAATGTAAGAATAAAGAATTCTAAATAAAAATACGTTTAATACCATTAAGAACAGTTTGCTTTGTGTGATGTGCGCTGAATGAAAAACATAGCACGCCGAACAGTCTCAACGTTTTGCCAAAAGTGTGTCAACAACGCATAAAATGTTACCAAATTAGCTTCCACAAAACGAGAATTACACAAACATAATAGGGGTATTCTTCAAATCTTGCAAAGCCATTGCACCTAGCACGGATTGCATGGATTCCATAACTTGCAAACACACAACAACAAAATACATGGGAAACAACATTTCCTATCGCTGCAAAATATGCAACGTCCAACATTTCAATGAAATTATTTTTAAAGTGTTAATGTCAGAGAATATTCTTTCAGTTCTATTTAAAATATTTTTATCTAGTCCTCCTTCCAAAATATGTGAGGCGTGCGCTATAATTCTAGTCGTGTTTTTAAGGTGAGCTCAAGGTGAGGATGAAGACAATAAGAAGCAGAACTCGCACGGTATAAGCTTCACCGTGTTTTGGTTCCATTCCATGTTTTTTTTTATAAGANGTGAGCTCAAGGTGAGGATGAAGACAATAAGAAGCAGAACTCGCACGGTACAAGCTTCACCGTGTTTTGGTTCCATTCCATGTTTTTTTTTATAAGATACTGTGCACAGTAGCGTGCGCCGAAAATCCGCTTTTTTAGAATTTTGATTGGTAATAAGCAAAAATATGGTTCATTATGCTTTAAAAAAATTGTGTGCAATTTGGAATTTTTTGGTTAATATCCTAGGCTCGCCCAAGTCGACCAAAGTTCAATATGCTCAAAAAATAAAAACTAATTAATACATTTTTTTACTAAAATTGTAATAATCTTCGAAAGTATTAGTCCTAAATAAGTTGGTATATGGACCTTTTTTGTAGAGAATCGAAGTTAGCTAAGAAAACAAATTTTGTAGTACTTGAACTTTGACTAGGATATTGACCAAAAATTTTTACATTTCACACAGGTTTTTTTTAGAGCATAATAACCCAAATTTTTGCTATTACTAATCAAAATTCTAAAAAAGCGGATTTTCGGTCCACGCTAGTGCACAGACTGTCAGATAGATCTGTCAATAATATTTGCCCTTCATTTAATTTTGTCCCCAGCAAATCGCCTGCAAAGTCCTGGGTTTGCGAGGTCCTCAATTTTTTTACCAAATGTTGCTCTTTTATGAAGAACATTTTCATATGCTTTAAAAGATATTGAGGGCAATTTGATTAACGTTGCTATTCATACACATACATATGTATGTATGTAAGGATGCTACCCTTGCTGTGCCTATTCTAGTGATGCAATTTTTAAGGCACTTTATTGTATTAAATATTTAATAAAAAACCAGGGGAATTACTATGTAATTCGATGCGAAAACGAATGATTCGCATTCGCACAAATTCATCGTAAGTAATACATAGTGGCGTTGTCCTATCGCATCGCATTTCTCTTTCGTATCGCATAACAGGGTAACCCCCAAAAAAAAAAAAAAACAAAGCATCGTCACAACTCTTTTAGTTATGACCAGTAGCTCGTTTCTGTAACTCTTCTCTACCGATTATTTCTCTACTGGTAGAGAATATACGTCATTCTCTACTACTCATTAGCAGTAGAGAACAGGGCGGCGAATTCATATCTCAATTCGCCTTGGTAGAGCATTGTTACAGAAACGAGCTGCAGGGTCGAAAATTTTAAGCTTTTGCTTGGAATTGCTTATTTTTCTTATTCAGGGTCTCCAAGCTTAATTTTAACGACCATGCTTATTTTGCTTATTTCAATGTACAAAGTTAAGTACGGACCTCTTAAGAAAACGGTCAAGAAAAAAATTGCTATTATTTTGACATATGATATTTCACAGTCTCAATTTTTCTTTCCGAAATAATACTCTTTCTTCACAAAAAACTTTAGAAACCATATTAGCAAATTTCTTAAGAACTCCGTACTGCTTAAGAAAAATTGGCTTTTCTTGAGCATTTTTTAGGCGTTTTTTTTATTCGTCGAACTAAAGAAGTGTTTACAAATAATAACAAGAAAACATTGCATCTGCTTGGATACAACAATTTTATTGAAAATCAAAGATTTGCCTCTACGGGAAGGCATTGGTGTTATTAAAGAGATTAAAAGTAACGTCCATAAACCTAGCTGACCCAAGTCGCCAAAAATCAATAAAAATTAGCTAGGAATTAGGTGTCTTTTAGGTGTTAATTAGGGCCTCCAAAATTAATTTAGGTGTTCCATTGGTTTCCGAGAAATTCGCAAAAATCGTNATTCATATCTCAATTCGCCTTGGTAGAGCATTGTTACAGAAACGAGCTGCAGGGTCGAAAATTTTAAGCTTTTGCTTGGAATTGCTTATTTTTCTTATTCAGGGTCTCCAAGCTTAATTTTAACGACCATGCTTATTTTGCTTATTTCAATGTACAAAGTTAAGTACGGACCTCTTAAGAAAACGGTCAAGAAAAAAATTGCTATTATTTTGACATATGATATTTCACAGTCTCAATTTTTCTTTCCGAAATAATACTCTTTCTTCACAAAAAACTTTAGAAACCATATTAGCAAATTTCTTAAGAACTCCGTACTGCTTAAGAAAAATTGGCTTTTCTTGAGCATTTTTTAGGCGTTTTTTTTATTCGTCGAACTAAAGAAGTGTTTACAAATAATAACAAGAAAACATTGCATCTGCTTGGATACAACAATTTTATTGAAAATCAAAGATTTGCCTCTACGGGAAGGCATTGGTGTTATTAAAGAGATTAAAAGTAACGTCCATAAACCTAGCTGACGCAAGTCGCCAAAAATCAATAAAAATTAGCTAGGAATTAGGTGTCTTAGGTGTTAATTAGGGCCTCCAAAATTAATTTAGGTGTTCCATTGGTTTCCGAGAAATTCGCTAAATTTAGGTTTAAAATTTTCCAAATATTTGCAGGAATTAGGTGTCTTTTAGGTGTTCTTCAACGCCACTAAAACTAATTTAGTAGCTCCATTGGTTTCCGCGAAATTCGCAAAAATGTGGTTTTCAGCTAGCTTAGCGCTGTTAACCTAGCTGAACAATCATATTTTTTTTTTTTAATTTTCGAAATACATATCTGCAGGAATTAGGTGTCTTTTAGGTATTCTTCAACGCCACTAAAACCAATTTAGTAGCTCCATTGGTTCCATTTAAAAGTATTAACCTAACTGGAAAATTTTTTGAAAATAAATTAAGTATTCATATTTTAGTGTAATATAATCCGTATTATTTTTAATAACAGTAAAACAAAGACAACTAAATCAATATATTAACAGCACTGAAAACATACAATTTTTAATTCCGTCCGTAAAACATTAAACGGTACTTAAATACATTTTTTGTTGTTTTTCGAGCATATTTACTAATGTCTAATGTCATACGTAGTTAGTTAATATCATATATATTTTTTGGGGTTTTGTATAATGTATACTGTTGCAGTTTAAATAAAGTAGTCAAAAAGTATAAATGCTTTCCAGCTGTACGTTTTCGAAGTCAGTCGCACTTCTAAATCGGGTCCTAAACAAACAAGAAAAAGCGATTTTGGCTGTTTTCAGGGATTCGACATGACAGAAGTTTTAATTTGGCCAAAATCCTCCCTTCCAAAATTGTATGCCCTCAAACCAGGGTGGTTATTAAAAAATTTGTTTTCGTTAGCCTACCAAGCGTACTGCAAAATATTATTTAAAATTATCTGTGAGATTGTTGTTATTATCGCTTACCTGATCTTGACAGAAGTATCCGAATCCAATAATACCAGCAATTGCCAAAAATAGGCAGAATAAAATAATTGTTCGTATTTTGGAGCGTGGTTCCATTTTCTTAATCTCGTAAACACCGCTAGGCAGAAGTAAAGCAAAATCACTATCAACTTGTACGGAGACGTTTTTTTGCATATCTATTGGCATGTTCCGACATAAGCAACACGAATTACGTGTACGACGATTTTTATTACACCAACAAAAAATTATGGCTGCCAGCTGCTAACTGCACCGCCACCACAACCAGCTCCTCTCTAGCTCTCAGTGCCCCGCTTCCAATCCTTCGCTGAGCACTTTTGTGTGGACAATGCGCTTGTAACGTTCTAGTGGCTGACTGATTTAAAGGGAACGCTATAGCCAGCTTTTTTAACAAATCCCCTTAAGAAAAACTGCGAATGCGAATGACGGCGCTTAAGTCGAGACGAATGGAACAGTAAATTCAAATAAAAGAGGTTAAATGGGTATAATGGAAAACTGAATTGTGCTTGCAGCGATAATAACGGTGGGCGTTTGGGTTCGGATGTATATTTGGTTCAATGGATGGCAACAATGCGGGGGGCGAGGTGTGTTTGTTGAATGGGTAAAGGGATTAAGTCCTCAGCACGCTTTCCGAAATACGATGCTAACGAAGCTTTTACGTCGTCACGTTGCCACTTGTACTGAGAAAATTCCACTCTTTCAAATGCGATTTAAGCTTACTCCAGCCACACTGCCGCTGACGAGGTCGCCGTAGTAATCAACTTTGGCACCGCTGATGGTGATGTTAAATTCTGAATGCGAAATATGCAGCATGATAAACGTTTGCCCGCTTTCAACAATCGCTCTGGGCGCCTGCGTCTATGTAGGCATCGATGTATGTGCGGGTGTTTGCAGTTTCGTGGATTGGGGTTCAATGCGGGTTTATTGATGTTTTGGTATTTGCAGTCATCCGCTCAGGGCAATTTAGGCGATGCTAATTTATGCCATCTGACGTGTTGCGCCTGTTTGGCGGAGAGCTTTACTATTCACGTCAATTTCTCGGTTTACCTCAACAATGCGCCACAAGTACACGAACACAAAAACTGTTGTTAGCAAAACAATTTAAAAACGGTTGAAAATAGAATCTACTGGAAAATGACGCATCCTGTAAATAAAGAAACAAAAAGTTAGCGATTAGAATTGTTTGGAAACTCGATTTGATAATAGAATTAAAGTGGGTTGCCTTGTGCTGTTTTTCACAAAAAACTTTAGAAAAGTGTAGTAGAAAGCGGAGCAAATTTCTTAAGAACTGCGCACTGCCTTTAGAAAATTTGACACATGAAAATTTCTTAGCCATTTCTTGTACGTCATTTTATATGGACTTTTTGCTTTTCTTGAGAGCTGCATACTGGCCTTTAAAGTGGGTATTAAAGGACGAGGAAGAAATTAAAATGTACATATTTAAAGTGTATTTATCCAAATGGTGATTAATATAAAAACGTTATGTTGAAGATAAATAGTTGGTTCGAACTAGTCCTCTATAGTGAGTAAAAGTTCACAAATAGAATTCTAGCGTCTTGAAAATCACTACCCCAAAAGCAGTAAAAATTACGTTTTCCTCATAACATTCTTATTGGATGGCCTACGATATTTATGGAAAATGTCCTTTAAATTAAATATTTTTAAAACGCGATTGTTTAAATCGTTGAACAATAAATTAATAGTTTTAAACCGATAAAAAATATACACAGTGAGTGCCAGTTAAAATGAGCAAGGGAAATTTTCGTAATGTTTTTCATGTTAGTCTTATGCATATACCAGTCCTTACAACCGCCCAGTTGTGGCGGCTCGGGAAATTATACTCTTGGACCGCATGTCCTACACGTAATATATTTACGGTACTTCTTGGAATCATGTCCATCCCGACAGCATCGAGAACATGCTATCTTAGTTAATTATACGTAAACTATTTTATAGCTTAGAAGGAAAATTGTAAAAAGTTTACATATATTAAGCTTTAAGTTAATTTTTATTGTATACTAGCTTTTACCCGCGGGTTTCACCCCACGTCTTTATACAAATATGAAAAAACAGTATGTAAAGATGTTATACTCTCTGCTCCTATTTTATTACAGCCGTGATAGCAGCATATGGTACGACAGCTGTATAGCTTGGGTGTTATGGAATGAAATGCAATAATAATTTTTTGGCACTGCAGGTGTTTTTGCCCAGTTATATAAACCTTACTATAAGCACCTACCATTGATATGTTTACATACCAAATTTAAATTTTATGTGACTTATGGTTCCGGAGCTGATTAAAAATTCTATGAGATATGCCACGCGCCCTCCAACAAAGTCATTTATATAAACCTTACTGTAAGCATCTACCATAGATTTGTGTGCATACCAAATTTCAAGTTCATGTGACTTATGGTTCCGAAGTTATAGCTGATTAAAAATTTGCAGCCCTATGGGAGGTGCCACGCCCCCTCGCAAAATTGGCACCATATTTGCAAACAAAACCATGCCCCTATCCCGGAGTAAAAGCAAATAACTGTGCAAAGTTTCGTGCGGTTCCGTGAAGTGGTTCAAAAGTTATAAGATAATAAACAAACAGACATTCACATTTATATATATAGATTAATTTTGCAATATATATTACAAATGTAAGTATATATGTGAATATACATAGGTCAAATGACTGTCAAAAATAAATAAATAAATAAAACATACTTCGGCCGTTGAAATAAAAAGCGAAAATAAGTTTTCCTTTTCCCTCCTACGCGTTTTAGCGCTTCTCGACCCATATTCAGGGAGTGTGTATTTGGCGTGTGTCAAGTTAGCACTACACTTTTCGAAATCGGAAAAGTTAACTAAGGCATTAATTATACAGTTTTTGTTGTAAATTTGTTGTGCGAAGAAAAAATTTTTAGCTTTCGTTTTCAGGAAAAAATGGTATGTAGTGCTAACTTGACACTACAAATTGAGATATCCAATATGTTACTATGCCATTAATTGAGGCTTTTAACATTAAAATTTGTTGTGAAAAGCAAAAATTTGTAGCTTTAGTTTTTCCGGAAAAAATTAAGTTGACCCTTTTTCGAACAAAATTTAGTATGTAGTGCTAACTTGACACCTTACACAATTGACGACAGAATTGAGATATTGAAAAGGTTACAACGGAATTAATTGTAGCTTTTTTGTTGTAAATTTGTTGTGGAAAGAAAAAATGTGTAGCTTTCATTTTTTAAGAAAAATGGTATGTAGTGCTAACTTGACACCATGCACCTAGTCGATAGCATTGAGAAATCCAGTATGTTATCTCAATTTAATAGGCGGTGGGGCAAGGTGTCAACTCAATTTTTTGCCAGAAAATCGGAAGCTAAAAAAAAAAAATCTACAATTAATGACGTTGTAACTTTTCAATATCTTAATTCTATCGACTAGGTGCATAGTGTCAAGATAGCACTACATACCATTTTTTCTTAAAAAACGAAAGCTACAATTTTTTTCAACAACAAATTTACAACAAAAAAGCTACAATTAATGCCGCTAGAACATTTTCAGTATCTCCATTCTATCGACTAGGTGTATGGTGTCAAGTTAGCACTAAATACCATTTTTTCCTAAAAAGCGAAAGCTAATTTTTTTTTCTTTCCACAACAAATTTACAACAAAAAGCTACAATCAGGGCCGCTATAACATTTTCAATATCTCAATTCTATCGACTAGGTGTAAGGTGTGAAGTTAGCACTACATACCATTTTTTCCTAAAAAACGACAGCTAAAACTTTTTCTTTCCGCAACTAATGTACAACAAAAAAAGCTACAATTAATGACGTTATAACATTTTCAATATCTCAATTCTATCGACTAGGTGTATGGTGTCAAGTTAGCACTACATACCATTTTTTCCTAAAAAACGAAAGCTACAATTTTTTCTTTTTACAACAAAAAAGCTACAATTAATGCCGTTGTAACCTTTTCAATATCTCAATTCTGTCGTCAATGGGGCCTGGTGTCAAGTTAGCACTACATACTAAATTTTGTTTGAAAAAGGGTCAACTCAATTTTTTCCAGAAAAACGAAAGCTACACATTTTTTGTTTTCACAACAAATTTTAAAGTTAAAAGCTACATCTAATGGCATAGTAACATATTGGAAATCTCAATTCTATCGACTGGGTGTATGGTGTCAATTTAGCACTACATACCATTTTTTCCTAAAAAGCGAAAGCTAAATATTTCTTCTTTCCACAACAAATTTACAACAAAAAGCTACAATTAATGCCGTTATAACATTTTCAATATCTCAGTTCTATCGACTAGGTGTAAGGTGTCAAGTTAGCACTACATACCATTTTTTCTTAAAAAACGAAAGCTACAAATTTTTTCTTTCCACAACAAATTTTAAAGTTAAAAGCTACAATTAATGCCGTTATAACATTTTCAATATCTCAATTCTATCGACTAGGTGTATGGTGTCAAGTTAGCACTACATACCATTTTTTCTTAAAAAACGAAAGCTACAATTTTTTTCTTTCCGCAACAAATTTACAACAAAAAAGCTGCAATTAATGCCGTTATAACATTTTCAATATCGCAATTCTATCGACTAGGTGTATAATATCAAGTAGCGCTACATACCATTTTTTCTTAAAAAACGCAATTTTTTTCCGCAACAAATTTATAACAAAAAAGCTGCATTTAATGCCGTTAAATGAAATGAAATGAAATAACATTTTCAATATCTCAATTCTACCGACTAGGCGTATGGTGTCAAGTTAGCACTACATACCATTATTTCCTAAAAAACGAAATCTCAAAATTTTTTCTTTCCATAACAAATAAACAACAAAAAAATTAATGCTGTTATAGTATTTCCAATATCTCAATTATATCGACTAGGCGTATGGTGTCAAGTTAGTACTACATACCGTAGTTGAGTTTTCTGCTAACTTGACAGACGTATGTGTTTCAATATACACATAATAATTAATTAACCATAATTACATTCCACAATAACAATTATGTACATAAATTTACAGTTGATATATGTATATTAAGGCACATGCACTAAAATTTTTCATGAGCATTGTGTTGACTTCTACTAGGCATTAAACGATTTTTCAGAATTTAAGCATTAAAATTTTATGAAGCNTGCACTAAAATTTTTCATGAGCATTGTGTTGACTTCTACTAGGCATTAAAAGATTTTTCAGAATTTAAGCATTAAAATTTAATTTNGTATATTAAGGCACATGCACTAAAATTTTTCATGAGCATTGTGTTGACTTCTACTAGGCATTAAACGATTTTTCAGAATTTAAGCATTAAAATTTTATGAAGCAGTAATTTATCAATATTAGTGTAATTTTTATTTGCATTAAATTTCAAAAATTACTGCAATAATTTTTTACATTAACACTAATGATTTACAGGTCTATTCTGCGCTGGTAATAAAAATGTTGTAACCGGTAAAGTTCCTGTCAATTTTTAAACCCTTTTATGCAATGCCGAAATTCCACCATTCTTCATAGCTGAATTGCTGAATATTTTAACCGCATTACCAACGTACCTAGAATCGCGGAGACAAGAACTCGTAACAAAATCTTCGGTAATGTGCAGAATAGACCTGTTAAAATCGATTTAGTAGTATCTTGAGAACGGGGCGAAAAAAATTTAAAAAAATTAGACATAAGTACATACATATAAATTTTCTATGAAAAGAAATATTTGTAAAATCTTTTTTTTTTTTAATTTTTCACACACAAATTTTTTGTTAAAAAAAATAGTTTCTGAAAATATGCCATCTCAAAAAAAAATTTTAAATCATAGTGGTAGCCTCTGAGTGTTGCAATATTTAAGTATAGTATTATTAGTATTGCACTCTACAATAATTTGAGTTATGAATTTTTTTTTAACCGAAGTTGAGTAAAATCAGTACATTACAAATTTACAAATTTTTTAAATTTTTTTTAGATTTTTTTTTAGTATGCAGTTTTGTAGCCCATTAAATTTTAGTAAAATAAAGTGCAAGTTTTAAGCGATTGCAAACCTGGCGTTAATGTTTTTTAAGTTTCTTTGAAAACAGTTTTGCGCATTTTCTTCCATAAGAAAAAATGCAAAAAGCCGACAGTGTAAAAAATATTAAAAAACAACG